CTCACACACACACACACACACACACACTTGTGAGTAAAAAAAAGGCCATCTGTGTGTTTGCAGTTTTATTGGTGGTACTTGTACACTGATAGGCCTGTCCGAGCAGCATGTGCAGATTCACATGAGTCACATGAAGCTGAAATCTCTCTGTTCTGAGCAGATGCTGATGAGGAGGGGAGCGGCGCTGATGCTGCGGCTCTGAGCTCCGTCTCTCTCCCTGCGGCGGCTGTGGATCATCAGGTGGATGTGCTGCTGAGTGACTGGAACAGAGCAGCAGACATGCTGTTCAGCATCCACCCCATGGACGGCTCGCTGCTGGTGTGGCTAGTCGACTGGCTGGATGAATACCAGCCGGGCATGTTCCGACAGGCGCAGGTACAAACAACACATCCTGAGAGCGGTTCCTCAGATTATGCCTCGAAACAACTCAAAACACTCTGTAACCACATAGCTACAACCTAGCAACCACCCAGTTCTCCTTAGCAACACCCTGGTAACCACCCAGAACACACTAGTTTTGAATGAGTGATCACCGCTCATGTTTTAAACGATAGTGTAATGATAGTTGTTATTTTATCATCATTGTGTTGACAAAGGCTAGGGGTGTCCAGTAGTTTTTGTCTAGGATAATATCGTAGTTGTTGTTTTAACGATGTGTGAGCTGACACTGAGTGTCACTCATTTTGCAAAAAACAAACAAAACACATCTTGAGAATCCAAAAGCATTGGCTGTGTGATGAAGCCTATTAGAATGAACTGATAATTCACATTCTGAAAGCAAATTTTTAAAATATATCGCATATTAATCGTACATCAAATTTGGCTGAGAAATTACCCTCAAAAGATAATTTAAAGTCATTATTGTGTTAAATGAGAAAAGCGTAAAATATTCTTTACAAAAAATAGCTTTAGAAAGAAATTTTTCTTTTCATTTTTTCATTTTTTATTTTTTGGGGTGAACTATCCTTTTAGTTTTTTATTAATGTCTTTTTTTATTTTCATATTTTTTGTTAATATGGAAATATGAAATTATTTTTTAATGAAGCTATACTCTATATATTCTTATACTTTTAGATACAATATTGTCTTTTTTTTCTGTTTTGCCAATGAAAATAGTTCCAAACAAAGCTGGAGCAGAACATTTGCGCGTCTCAGAGCAACACTGCAGTGTTTCATTCCTGAATGAATCTGTTTTTGAACAAATCTTTTGAGTCAATGATTCAGTGACTCATTCATAAAGACAGTGGCTGTGTTCAGAATGGCACACTAGCTTACTGCCCAGTACACAGTGCATACTGCCTACTGTTTTTTTAAGAATAGTGTGTGAAACAGTATACAATAAGCAACAAGTAATGTTTCAGAGTACTGAACATTAATTCACAGTACTGAATTCTCTGATGAGTTCATTCTCTGTTTCCAGGTTTCCTTCGTGTCCAGGATTCCCGTGGCCTTCCCCACCGGCGACGCCATCTCGCTCAGCCGCAGCGTGGTCATGTACGCCTGCAACAGAAACGTGGACCTGGCCATGCAGCACGGCCGTCAGCGTCCCGCGGGCCTGCCGCACTCGTCCTCCTCCGCTCTGATCGGACAGAGCCAGAACAAACCCTCCTCCAGCAGCCTGCGTCTCAGCATCTTCACCCCCAGTGTCCTGATGATCTCCAAACACGCCGACGGCTCACTCAACCAGTGGGCCGTCAGCTTCGCCGAGGACTCGGCCTTCTCCACGGTGCTCAGCGTGTCTCATAAGTCACGATACTGCGGCCACCGCTTCCACCTCAACGATCTAGCCTGCCACTCTCTGCTGCCGCTGCTGCTCACTACCTCGCACCACAATGCCCTGAGGACACCCGACGGGGACGCCGCTCTGACCCGCCCCGCCGCCGCCCCGTCCCACAGGAGCAGGGTGTCTTCTGGTGGCGTCGCCCAGGATCCCAACGCGATCTACAGTGAGCTGATCCTGTGGCGGGTGGATCCGGTGGGTCCGCTGTCGTTCTCGGGGGGCGTGTCGGAGCTGGCCAGGATCAACTCGCTGCACGCGTCCGCCTTCTCTAACGTGGCCTGGCTGCCCACGCTCATCCCCAGCAACTGCCTCGGTGAGGACAGCTTCCTTAGATTCTAGATTCCATTTCACCTTAGCAACCGCATCCCTCGCCCCAGCGACTGACTCGATGAGGACAGCTTCCTTAGATTCTAGATTCCATTTCACCTTAGCAACCGCATCCCTCGCCCCTAGCGACTGCCTCGATGAGGACAGCTTCCTTAGATTCTAGATTCCATTTCACCTTAGCAACCGCATCCCTCGCCCCTAGCGACTGCCTCGATGAGGACATCTCTCTTAGATTCTGACATAAAAGCAAAATTCACTGTGGAAACCTTCTAGAGTGTAGAGTAGTTCAGCCTGACAGTCTTGCATTAAAAACAGAAAGCAAGAGTACAGTACAGGAGAAAGCACTCTGTGTGCAGATGATTTGTGATATTTTCAGAGATTTTTAATGAGTGAGCGGGAAACATTTACAAGCATCCCTATTTGAATGGAGTCTCTGCTGCATAGAATATTCATACATATGTATTCAGCTCATGAATATTTAATGCGTGTCTTTAAAACTTTAACTGACAATCCCTCGTGTGTGAAGCCTGTCTATTTCTCAGCTTGCGGCTGATTGGATGTTACTTTTGATCTATTCATATTTCATTTCCTTCCCAAAGGTGTGTATGGAAACTCACCCAGTGCCTGCTTCATCGCTAGTGACGGACACTCGCTCCGACTCTATCAGGCCATCATCGAGGCCAAAAAACTGCTGAGTGAACTCTCCAACCCCGACATCTCCGTAAGAATGGACCTGGCTGTTATTTCAGTATATCAAATAGTAGAGTCCTGCTTATCTGTCATGTGTTTTTCTCCAGAAATATGTTGGAGAGGTGTTTAACATCATCAGCCAGCAGTCGACGGCCAGACCAGGCTGCATCATTGAGCTTGATGCCATCACAGACTTTGTACGTATAAGATCCACTACAGATGCATAATGTGACCCAAAATAATGGGATGATCTAACACAAGAGCATCATGTAATTTCCCAGAGTGCTCAGCGCTCACGTCTCTCTCTCTGTTTGTTCAGCAGGGGAAAGAGACGCAGCTGCTGCATGTGTTTGAGGAGGACCTGATCTTGGGAAATGAGAAAACAGACGATTACCTGCAGGATTCTGGTAAGAAGTCATTCTCTCTCTCGCTCTCTCTCAGCGTTCGTTGTGTTTCTGTGCTGTGTCACGAACGCTTGTCCTTCCTTCAGTTCCCAGCCGGACGCTCTTCTCCGCTCGCTTCTTCCTGGTGGTGGTGGAGATCACTCAGAGCGGCAGGTCGCTCCTGCACATGTGGCACCTACAGCTGGACGCAGTTCCCGTCGTTATGGGTTTGTAATGGATCTTATGGTATTTAATGTGACTCACACTTGATTGGACTGTGAAAAGTGCCAGATTGGAGTCAGACATGAGTGCAAGTGTGATCAAACAAAGCCTAAGCAACATGAATATGATTAGTAGTTGACCGATATATCGGTCAATATCGGTCAATAATTTTTTCTGTTTGGCCGATATGTGAGAAATGGGACTTTTATTTTGACAGCATGTGCACAACTTACCAGATTACTGAGTGCACTGTTAGATACAGTGTTGTTATTCATATTTTTAACAATTTCTTTATTTGTGAAAAATAATGCAGAATCATTATTTTACAGATTATTTTTTTTATGAAGTTGACATTTTTAAAAATATTTGTATATATTATTAAGCAAAATAGATACTATTTAATTTCAGCAATTGTTATGCATGTGTTTTATTATCTTTAAATTAAATAGTGTGATATATATCTCATTTATCGGCTTTATGTTGGCATCAAAAAATCCATATCAGTCAACCACTAATTATAATGTCGCCCATAAAGGAAAGACAGAGCAACTGATTGTGACCAGATTTGTGTCATTCTTTCAGAGCAAACTCAAACTCCAGACAGAGAGACTGTGTCTCCATCATTTAACTTTGAGACGGTCGGCTCACCACAAACCCCGAGACCCAAACTGAAGACGTCTAACCTCCAGAGCGCCTGCCGCCTCACTCTTTCCAGCACGAAAGTCTTCAGCCAGGAGCTGGATCTGCCGCAGGGCGTTGAAGTCATTCGTGTATCACCTGCTGCAGGTGAAGACCTCTGTGCACCTTTGAGGATGAGAGCATTCACTGCTGCATGATGTTCTGATTATTCATTATGTCCTGTATTTATCCATCTCTTTCCTACGCCCCATGACGCTTTGCACGAATTATGGGAGGAACTTCCGGTAAACAATCGGCGAACTATTCGCTCTATGAAAGCCATAATAAGGATTTGCAAAAACTGGGTACAATGAAGTTACATTATTCTCCTCACCCTTCATACATCGATCATTAAAAGGAATTTAAAAGTGTAAAAATATTGACAGAGCAAAAAGCTAGATTATTTCTCTAGCAATATTGCAGACGTGTTAAATATCATTTCATCATTATCATCAGTCGCTAGGGGCGAGGGATGCGGTTGCTAAGGTGAAATGGAATCTAGAATCTAAGGAAGCTGTCCTCATCGAGGCAGTCGCTAGGGGCGAGGGATGCGGTTGCTAAGGTGAAATGGAATCTAGAATCTAAGGAAGCTGTCCTCATCGAGGCAGTCGCTAGGGGCGAGGGATGCGGTTGCTAAGGTGAAATGGAATCTAGAATCTAAGGAAGCTGTCCTCATCGAGGCAGTCGCTAGGGGCGAGGGATGCGGTTGCTAAGGTGAAATGGAATCTAGAATCTAAGGAAGCTGTCCTCATCGAGGCAGTCGCTAGGGGCGAGGGATGCGGTTGCTATTTAAAAGTGTAAAAATATTGACAGAGCAAAAAGCTAGATTATTTCTCTAGCAATATTGCAGACGTGTTAAATATCATTTCATCATTATCATCAGTCGCTAGGGGCGAGGGATGCGGTTGCTAAGGTGAAATGGAATCTAGAATCTAAGGAAGCTGTCCTCATCGAGGCAGTCGCTAGGGGCGAGGGAGGCGGTCGCTAAGGTGAAATGGAATCTAGAATCTAAGGAAGCTGTCCTCACCGAGGCAGTCGCTAGGGGCGAGGGATGCGGTTGCTAAGGTGAAATGGAATCTAGAATCTAAGGAAGCTGTCCTCATCGAGGCAGTCGCTAGGGGCGAGGGATGCGGGCAGACGTGTTAAATATCATTAGTCTGTATTACGTAACATTCGTTGCCTTAATTAAAAATGTTCATTAACTGCAACATTGAGTGATAATATTGTATTGAGGCAGTCGCTAGGGGCGAGGGATGCGGTTGCTAAGGTGAAATGGAATCTAGAATCTAAGGAAGCTGTCCTCACCGAGGCAGTCGCTAGGGGCGAGGGATGCGGTCGCTAAGGTGAAATGGAATCTAGAATCTAAGGAAGTTGTCCTCATCGAGGCAGTCGCTAGGGGCGAGGGATGCAGTTGCTAAGGTGAAATGGAATCTAGAATCTAAGGATTCAATCACAAAAGTGATTTCCGTCATTTTTACAGATAGCAAATATTGTGTTTAGCTGCTTTAGAAACATTCCAGTAAACACTGCTGGGATTAGAAGTGAAAATGGGAGGCACCTGCATTTCAAAGCATCTGTGTGAAAACAAACCTGGAAAGAGATGTGAGGATTCGGGGAGAAACAAAAACAGATTCTTAGTGCATTTAATTATTCCGGTTGCTAAGGTGAAATGGAATCTAGAATCTAAGGAAGCTGTCCTCACCGGGGCAATCGCTAGGGGCGAGGGATGCGGTTGCTACAGTGAAATGGAATCTAGAATCTAAGGATTCAATCACAAAAGTGATTTCCGTAATTTTTACAGATAGCAAATTTTGTGTTTAGCTGCTTTAGAAACATTCCAGTAAACTGCTGGGATTAGAAGTGAAAATGGGAGGCACCTGCATTTCAAAGCATCTGTGTGAAAACAAACCTGGAAAGAGATGTGAGGATTCGGGGAGAAACAAAAACAGATTCTTAGTGCATTTAATTATTCATGGGATATATTGTAAATTAAATCAGGAGAGCAGAGCTTAAATTTGCAGTATATGTTATCTTTATTCATATTGTTACAAATGAAAATAGTCAGTAGGAAAAGTCATAGCACGTCACATTAACTCTTTCTCCGCCACTGACCAGTTATCTCGTCTTTTACAAGAAAACAAAGACGAGTTTTTACAGCTTTCCGTGTTTTCACTGTTATACACTCGGAGGCGCTATTACACATCTTCTGAACGAGTACAAAACCGATGCATTTTTATGAAACGTACCTATATTCAAGTGTTGATAAAAAAAGAATGCTTTAAGCTAAAATTAAAACAGATTTTTTTTGTTTAAAAGTAGAGGTTCTGATCTTTATTTTGGCGTATTGCATATTCAAATATTCATACAGCAAAATATACTGGAGGCCATCAAATTTTAGTGAAAGTCATCAAAATCGCTGGCGGTGGCTGGCAACTTTAAAAAAAAATCCTGGCGGGGAAAGAGTTAATATACCAATGCTATTCTCCTGATGCCTGAAAACAGAACATGAAGGAAAATGTACAGTCAGACTTATTTGTAACACAACCTTATGATTTGAAATGATTTGTTTCAGTCGTTTTGAGTGGAAACCGGAAGTGCCTCCTATAATTTAAAATGCAGCTGGATATTCTGTTGCATTATCTGATAAACGCCAACACTTGTGTTGCAGGTCATTTGAGCGCTTCATCTCTGCAGCCGGCCGGCCGCTCTCCGTATCTGCTGGCCACGTCTTGCTCAGACGGATCGGTCCGGTTCTGGAGGTGCAGCGCCGTCTCTGACCCCGATGGCTCTGCGGACCCGTCATACGTCTGGGAGGAGTGGCCTTTGCTTGTGGAGGAGGGCGAGGCCAGCAGCAGCGCTCTGAGCGTGTCCGGTCAGCTCATGGGTCTCAGCTGCTGTCACACCAGCAGAGTCGCAGTCGCGCACCGGAGCCACGAACCCATCATGCACATCAGCATCTTCCAGTGCGACTCCACCGGAGGCTCTCAGTGGATTCTGGAGCAGACGCTTAAAGTCTGCAGCGCATACAGCCCCAGTGCCAACGACTGCCTGAGTAACGGCTGTTCAGTTAAGAGGCAGGTCCACTTAGACTGGGTTTCCAGAGAAGATGGCTCTCACATATTAACTGTAGGTCTAGGATCCAAACTTTACATTTACGGGATGCTTTCTGGAACACCTCCAGATCTGGGTCTGTCCGATTGCAGTAAGGAGCGCAGCTGCTCTCGATTGGTGCTCCTCCGAGTGGTGGATCTGGTGTCGTCGGTTGAAGGTTCGCTACCCATCCCTGTCTCTCTATCTTGGGTGCGAGATGGCATCTTAGTAGTCGGGATGGATTGCGAAATGCACGTCTACTCCCAGTGGCAGCCGCCGGCTCCAGTCAAACCGTCGCGCACTGGTAGCGTGACGTCGCTCAACTCTGCGATGAAGCAGGAGGGACTCAGTCCGAATCCTTCGAAAAAGACCCTCACCAGATCCATGACTAGTTTGGCTCAGAAACTCAGTGGAAAGAGAACCGTGTACGACCTCCCGGCCGAGATGGAGGATTCTGGGTTGTTTGAGGCGGCCTATCACCTGTTTCCTACTCTGCCCCAGTATCACCCAGTGCAGCTGTTGGAGCTCATGGACCTCGGGAAGGTGCGCCGGGCCAAAGCCATCCTGTCCCATCTGGTGAAGTGCATTGCTGGGGAGATCGTGTCTATGAAGGACACTGCGATAAACCAGGAGCGGCGTCTGCGCTCGCTCACCATCAGCGCCAGCGGAAGCACCGCCCGAGACCCAAAGATGTTCAGCAAAGCTGAGAGCTCCGACTACACCGAGATCGACTCCATCCCGCCGCTGCCTCTGCATGCGCTGTTAGCCGCCGACGAGGAGACCGCTCCTAGTGCCAAAGAACGATCGGAGAGCGTGAGCGCTCACGGCCAAAGCGACGCTTACAACGAGCTCTTCCAGACCGCCGGTGTCAGTGCGGATGACATGGACCCTTTTGATGGAGATGAGGAGGATGCAAACGCTAAAGTCATTGATTTGTCAAAGTACAGCCCTACGTTCTTCGGCTCCGAACATGCACAGGTGTTATCGGGACACCTGCTTCACTCCAGCCTGCCGGGCCTGACGCGGATGGAGCAGATGTCTCTGATGGCTCTGGCGGACACCATCGCTTCCACCAGCACCCACATTGGAGAAAGCCAAGGCAAAGGCCAAAGTCAGTATCTTTCACTGATATAACTTTAGTTTTCATTTGTAGGGATGTGTTCTGATGTGATGAACCTGTACTCAGGTGGAGAGACGCTGGATGAATGTGGACTGAAGTTCCTGCTAGCCGTTCGCTTGCACACCTTCCTCCTCACGTCTCTGCCTCCGGCTCATCGCGCTCCGCTGCTCTGTCAAGGTACGCCTGCATCAGTGTCCATGAGTGCCTCAGAAGATTTTCATGGAATATACACACACTACAGTTCAAAAGTTTGGGATCAGTAAGATTTGTAATGTGTTTTAAAGAAGTGTCTTCTGCTCATCAAGGCTGCATTTATTTGATCAAAAATACAGAAAAAAACAGTAATCTTGCAAAATGTTATTACAATATAAAATAATGGTTTCTATTTTAATATCCTTTAAAATATAATTTATTTCTGTGAACATTACAAGTCTTACTGATCCCAAACTTTTGAGCGGTAGTGTATATATATATATATATATATATATGATATTGATGTTGAACTAGAGCATGCCGCTAGCAGCACCAAGGTCGTGGGTTCGATTCCCATTGGAATGCATGCACTGAAAAAACGTCATGAATGTAAATCTCAGCTGGTCTTGCTCAGATGTTGTGTGGTCTGAATAATGCCGCTGGTCTACAGGACTGTCCACCTGCCACTACGCCTGGGCGTTCCACTCCGAGGCCGAAGAGGAGCTGCTCAACATGCTTCCGGCCCTGCATAAAGGAGAGCCCGCGTGGCCCGAGCTGAGAGCCATGGGCATGGGCTGGTGGCTCAGGAGCACCAACAAGCTTCGCAGATGCATTGAGAAGGTTTGACCAAACTGAGCCCATTTTCTGTGCATATTAGCAGATGATGAGTTAGGGCTTTTTTCCGATTTTATCGATTAATTCGAATTTAATATTACCAAACGTTAGAATTAGACACTTTGACAATAACAGTAAAGAGAAATGAAAGAGACGCGAACGCAACAGTCAGACGCGTCCATGTTTACATAGAAAAAACAATGGAAAAGCAGCGCAATCTAATAAAAAAAACCTGTGAAGAACTACTGCTGTATGTCTGATATTTCATGTTTGCATCATGCTGACAGGCTGAAAACTGCTGTTCATTGTTTTTACAGAACATTTATAGTTAATAGTCTACTGGTGTTATACCTTCAGTCATTCTGAATTTGAATTACGTTGACTTTTATGATTTTTTAAAGCATTTTTCTTGTATTATTTCTGAACATATAATATGTATAAGACAAGTTTGTACAAGATGTAGCTGTAGTTCATGCATCCTTTCTGCAAGGATATTTAAGAAGTGATTTGTTTAACATTTACATCATGATTACAACTTCATGTGTGCTGCACTTAGAATAGAATTTTCTTTAACTAGCGGGTTAATAAAGAGAAAGTTACTTGAATCATGTTGTAGTTACATTTTCAAGTTGACTAGTTTAAAATCGTACAAAATCGGTCAAATGTTCTGAGAAAATCGAGATTTTATTTTTTGCCCATATCGCCCAGCCCTATGATGAGTAGATTTTGGCAGAATTTCTAAAATTCAGAATATTTTTGTAAACAAATGCATGTTCTATTGTATTGGAGCTGCATGCATTCTGTCTGGAATTATCGGGGGGTCAAGCACCGTCTGCTGTATCTATTAGTTTTCTCACATTTTTAACCTCAAGCTTCAAATATTTAATATACATCAAATATATATAAATAATATGGCTCTCCGCAATGCTTGTGCATATTAACGTGACACTTTGTAGGTGTTATTGTCACAGTGTGGCCTATACACTCTAAAAGTGTATGTATGACGGTAAATCTACTCATAATCTCGTATCCTTTCACACAGGTCAGCTCAGTCTGTAGCTGCTGCTCCTTTAATTGTTTTTCTGTGCATGTGCATCCGATGCATGTCTTTAGCCACTGTATTCAACGTCTTTATTTTTCAGCACCTTGAGATGAACTTTTTACGTATTGAGTGTTTGTTTGAATGATGATCACAGGCCAATATAGTTCTTTAAATGTAATTTTCTATATTTTTTGAATTTGACATGAAATCCAAACATGTGTAATGATCAGTGATCCTCTATCTCCTACCAGGTAGCAAAAGCTGCTTATCAGAGAAACAACGACCCGTTAGACGCAGCCTTGTTTTATCTGGCCATGAAGAAGAAAGCTGTGGTCTGGGGACTGTACAGGTAACTTTATACACACACACACACACACACACACACACACACACACTCA